TTGAGCTTGAGCTTCTCCACTGCCACCAGCACCTCTGCCACCCCTTTCCTCAGGTCCAGACATTGTCGAAACTGCTCCAAGGGGCTCTGATACCACTTGTTATAGTCACAATAGGCTTGAATGTGCCTAAAACGAAAGATAGAGAGCACAGACGGGTTTCTGCACAGCGGCTTCAAACGTTGATAGCGTTCTGCTCACAGCTGCAAATGACTTGATTCAAATTGGATCTGGAGCGTCTTCACGTCGTCTACAATTAGCAATTTAGATTGCACGATTTGATAAAGAATTGACGACACAGCGTCGGTTTGAACGAACGGTACTATGACAGCCACTATAGTCTTAGAACACAAGATAGGAAGAGTTACGAGTTGGGAATGACTCCCAGCTCCTACAAACCCCAAGAGCCGAGGTACAGTGATGTGGAACAGTGCCACACTGTCCCCAACCACGAAGGGTCTCGAAACTACCCTTCACTAGGGCCTACACCAAGTGAAATGTTACACTACACAAAGTAATGTAACTATCTTCAATATCTTGAGGTGTACCCTTTTGGCAAGCTTCGAAATCACTTGAGGCTTGACACCAAGGCTCGGGCTCTTCATCACAAACTCATCCTTGAGTTCTTGATGGGTCTGCTGCACACACCTGCGACACGCCGAACGTTCGACACAGGACAAAATAGAAACCGCGCACGACAAAATAGAAACCGCGCGCGAGACACAAACGACCGCGTAACACGCGTCTAGCGATAACTCGCTATTGACTCGACACACACACTCGACATCATGACTCAACATTCACACACAATTATAAGCATGAAATATATATTATCCCATGCCCTCATACCATTCCATACACACACACATTCACGCACACGGACAACAAGCCGAGTGCAAACCGTAGGGTTGCACCAACAGGAGACGCACTAGCACCTAGAGCAGCAGCCTCACCAGCACCGAGAGCAGCAGGCTCTATACCTGGGTCAGGCGGTACGCACAGGTAACAGGTACGATCAGCACTAGTAGGCAATGCATACATGGCAGTGAGAATAGCATCATAGTCAAGAGCAAATATATCTACCCTCTGCCCAAGCAGCTCCACCCAGTCGGGGAGCTCAGCCTCGTCGCCAAACTCGGTACGCCGGGCGTCACTCAGACGGGCGAAGCAGCGGGACTGGGTGTGACTAAGCGTCCCGCAAGTCTGACCCGTCCGATCACCTGTGCGAATGACGTACGGGCAGCGAACGGTACTCAAAGACCCTCTACTCTGAGCGTACCACTCGTGAAGCTGCTGGGACGTAAGTGTCTCGCGTGGACGCCGCTGCAGCTGCAGCTGGCCACTGCCAGACGCTCCCAACTGGCCAGCTCCAGGGCGACAGCTACGACGACTACCACCACAACCCCAACTAGCGTACCACTCACGAAGCTGCTGGGGCGTGAGAGACTCGCGCGGACGTCGCTGGAGCTGCATCTGGCCACCGCCAGTACCAGTAGCAGTAGCCTAGCAGATAAGGCGCGGCAGGACCCCGAGCAGCCGCCCCTGGCCCCTGAAGCAGCCGCCCCTGGTCCAGCCGCCCCTGGACCCAGAGCAGCCGCCCCTGGCCCCTGAAGCAGCCGCCCCTGGTGCAGCCGCCCCTGGACCCTCGAGCAGCCGCCCCTGGACCCAGAGCAGCCGCCCCTGGCCCCTGAAGCAGCCGCCCCTGGTGCAGCCGCCCCTGGACTCCGTGCAGCCGCCCCTGGATCCCGCGACGCCGCCCCTGGACCCGCGACGCCGCCCCTGGACCCCGTGCAGCCGCCCGCCGAGCGCCGGCCCTGCTCGCCCGGCGAGCGCCTGCTCTTCCCGCCACTGGTGAGCACCTGCCTTGTTAGCGCGCTGCCGCGCCATCTGCCTGCCTGCCTGCCTGCCAGCCTGCCTGCCTGCCTGCCTGCCTGTCTGCCTGCCTGCCTGCCTGCCTGCTCCCCAGGTAGACCCCCTCCCCGCTCCCCATATCAGAATCCCAACCACTTAGACCATTGGGATAGAAAGGCTTGTTAAGTAGCGGGTCAGTGCGCCCATAACCCCCCAGGACAACGAGCCTGTAACCCTTCCCTAGGATCAATCGGGGATCACCAGTGGACCTCTGACACCCCCCCGCACTGGGATGCCCGAAGTGCACACACTGGGATTCGAACCCGAGACCGCTCTGATACCATGTCGAGAGTAAAGGGAAAAAGTTGGTGCACTATCGAGAAAGTTGGGTACAAGTAACAAAAACGATACCCTACATTAGCTACCCCACTAAAGCCTACATTCTATTATGTCATAGGCATATAATTTGACACGACGGGCCAAGGGGCCAGAGCCTAGGGGCGAAGGGGCCGAGGGGCGCAACGGGCCTAGGAAACAGGGCGGTGGAGCGCGACGGGCCTAGGAAAACGGGGCCGTGGGGGCGCGACGGGCCTAAGGGGCGCGACGGGCCTTGGGGCGCGACGGGCCTAGGGGCGTGACGGGCCAAGGGGCCGGGGCCAAGGGGCTACTCGCAGGGCAGCAGGTCGTGGGCCCAAGGAAAGAAAGGCGGTTCTAGCGAGGGACCTGCTCTGAAACCATGTTGAAAGTAATGAACGAGCATGAATGAACTAACAAAGAGTTGGGTACAAGTATTAACCCTAATTGGGTTGTACCCCTTATGGGCTACCCCACTATAGCCTACACAAAGGAAAAGCTATAATGATCTGACATAAGCCTTGTTGAGGTTGAGGCAAGCCCTCATTTGTTGTAGTCGTGCCTCTTGTTCCTTGCTCTGCTTGTACTTGCATTTTTCTATAATTGTGAACTATTGAACTAACCTTGTGGCCCCTTACTTGTGCTTAGACTGTATGGTGACTTCGTGATCCACTCTGAGCTTTGTGTTGCTGTTTTTTGACAGGTCTTGTGACCATCCGTGTTGCTTGCTCTCTCTTGCCATCCCTCACTTAGCCTATGGGGGTGTGTCAAACTATGTATTTATGTTGTAGGATATAGTGAGGCATGCTGTAGAGGGTATAACACCTTTAGGGTTCCCATTTGTATCACCCATCCTGCCTAATCTTATCATTCCGCTATTCTAACATCTGTGAAATACTCCCCTGGTGATTTTAGTTGGTGTACAATCGCGGTAGTGCCTTATGTAAAGCTTTCACGTTCAAAATTGAGCATTATGTGTAAGTTAGCACATTTCAAATCACAGGTGGGTAATTTTAATATGTGCATGATGAAGTTTGATGATAAAAAATTGGGAAAAAAAACTTAATGTTTTTTGGTCCACTAAATGGCACTTACCGTATGATGAACTCTGGCATGTTCACAAACATCCAGGTGCAGCCGCAAGCCACGCCAACATCTCCTGATGCAGCTTCTCCTAAGGGCGCGTGTGATTTTTTTTGGGGTTCGTATTTAAGGTCGAACTTTAGGTGGTAACCAGTTTCGCCATTGTTCGCAGGAGATTTCGCCAATGGTGACTCCAATTTCAAGAGTACCAGGTGCGAACATACAAATGTGAACAAGATTTGAATATATGCACAAACTTTGTGTAGCACACTGAACCGAACGTGTGTGGTTTCAGGCACGTACGAGGAACCAGCGAAGCTCGCGACTCTTTCGCGCTGTCAATAGAAGAATACCGGGTAACCTACACACCCTATAGGCGGCTCGGTCCCCCCCCTGTAAGCTCGAACCTGCAAATTCGCACTTTCGTGTGTGATTGTGAATCTACAAGCAAGGTCACCTGCGGTTCGAACATTGCCAATGCTCAAAGTCGAGTCATGTTCAAATGCTTAAATCGAGTAAAAAACATAAACTTATGGCAAAATCAAAAATCACACGCGCCCTAACATAGCACTTTCCTGAAGGAATCTGCGTCATGAGGTAAAGGAAGGGGGAGGAGTCCCCTAGGTGTTAGGAATCCGCGTCACGAGGATGTCGTCAGTATCGGGCTAGGCCAGGTGGTCGTTGTGGAGTTCGGATTGAGCGAAATGCGCATGATGTTGCTCACCTGGCTTGCCGGGCCCATTCCGCCCCATACGCACCTGTGCTGGGCGTGCCCCAGATTATGCTGTCTGTGGTTGAGCGGGCCCTGCGCGTACAGTACCTGACCCAATCCGCGGGGGAAACAGCCCGCAAATATTTGAGGTAGCCCCGCCTCCGCGCCTTTTTGCACGTCTGTCTGACTCGAAGTGACGGTGCAGTTACTTTTTCGTTGTCTTTTTCGCACTAGCCTTTTCCGCGACGTTGGGACGACCGCTGTCAAACTGCCGACGGCCGGCTCCGCAGCCCGCGACCATCTGCGCTACGCTGATCTCTTCCCTTCCCAGAGCGCGCGACACCGATGAGTCATCGCGTATCACAGCAGCTCAGCTCCCGTGATGATGACGAAGTATTTAAACTCGCTCGCCTCCCTTCATAAGCCCACGCCTCTGCCCTTCACCTCACACCCCACTGCCAAGTTGCTTCCGCCTCTCCGTCCTACCCGAGCCTAGCTAAGCGTCCGCCGTCGCGTTTCGCCAGCACCGCGGCTCAGAAGACCCAAATTCGACCTGAAGTCGAATAGCTCCGGCGCTAACCCTTCGACGCCTCGCCATCATCGTTCGTCGTACGGCCGACTCGGAGGAGCTTCTTCAACGTCAACCAAGCCGCAACACCTCAACGTCTCGTTGCGCGCCGTCCGTCGTCGCCATGCAGCGACCTGCTTCGGCGAGGGATTTTGTGCCGGGTACGCCCGACTCCCTCGCTCCTTATTCCTATTCGCCCGCCGCTCCAGCTCCTTTGTTCCATTGCTGCTCCTATGCGCTTGTTCCTTTTCGCCGATTCGCCAGCCTTCTTAACTCGCATACTTGTATTCATCGTGTCACCCCCGATTCTCCCCCCTCTCCTCCCCTTCACCCTTCCCCCCCCACTCCCCCCCCCTCTCCCGCCCCCCCACACCCCTGCCTCTCGTGTCCGCCGGTGGGGCCTCCTCCCTGCCTCGCTTCCACTGTGCTCCTCAGCCGCAAATCACACCCTCCTCCCTGAGGTAATTTTCTCGCTTCTCGCATCTCGCCTCGCCTCTCGCCTCTCAGCTCCCCCACCTGATTCCCCTTGTACTCGCTTGCATGTGCTCTCCTCACCTCTCCTCCCGTTCTGCTTGTCCTCGGCACGTGCGTCTGGGGTCAACGCCGCCCCTTCCAAGCTCATGCTGCTTCACTCCTCCCGCTTCCCTCTCATGCTCGGCGCGCTGCTCTCTTCGCGTTCCCCTCGTGCTTTCCACTGCGTCTGATGTGCATTCTTCTGTTCCATGGTACCCCACGCTGCACATGCACACACATGATGCGCGCACATCAGCTCAAGAATCTTGCCAACATATTCATATGCCCCATTTGCTATTCTTGCTGCTCCACGCATTCAGGCGCGCGAGATCGTGGTGGGCGGCAAAAAGCAGTGGACGCTCGGCGTCAGCACCTGGAAGCCCACTCCCACCGTGAAAGCAGGCGACGTGCTCGGTGCGTGCCCCTCACATGCGCCGCCAGTTTACTCCTGGTGACCCGCGTATTGCGTCGTCCTCCCCGTTCTGCTTTTATACTCGCATGCCCCTTGCTCTTTGCTCGGTCTCCACCCAATCTATTTGACCCAAAACTTACCGCCTTGACTAAACGGCCGTTGCTGCTCTATCGTCTCCCCCGTTATGTCCCATCCATCCTGTCCCATCCATCCTGCCCCATGCATCCTGCCCCATGCATCCTGCCCCATGCATCCTGCCCCATGCATCCTGCCCCATGCATCCTGTGATCCCTTACATCCCATCCTACATCCACGCTGTGTGCCATGCATGGCAACGTGTTCCAGTGGGGTGCGTACCACGACGTGGGGCTCATGAGCAACGTTTGTTGAGTCGACTCAAAGCATGTCCCAATTCTGCTCCCTTACGTGCATGGCAGTGTTCCAGTGGGGTGCATATCACGACGTGTGGCAGATGAGCAACGTTGCAGCCTACAAGGGCTGCAACTTCCAAGCTGCGAGCCAGAAGGCGCCTGCAACCTTGGGCGGGAAGTACAAGTAAGTCCCGCGCTTGTGTCCTGCTCACTTGCCCCTGTGCCTCTGCTTACCGGTGGTTCTTGCTCTCTCTTGTTGACTTCCTTGATAACTAAGGCACCTACCTACGATGAACGTGCACATGTCTTGCCAATCAAGCCTTCGCCCCTGCCACTTTGGGCCAGGGGAAAGAGCTCTTGGCTAAAACCACGCATATGAACCACCCCATCTCGCTCCACGCTTCACAGCTCTTGCAACTGCCTATCTTGCCCGGCTTGGCCCCCTTTCAGGTTCACAGTGCCAGCTTCAGCAAAGGGCAAGGTCCTGTACTTCGCCTGTCGAGTGTCTGGGCACTGTGGCAGCAAGATGAAAGTAGCAATTTCCGTCCAGAGCTGAGGCCGTTGATTGTTAAGCAGGAATACAGGTTGTTGTTTTTGTTTGTTTTTAATATATGTGTAAATATATACTTTCCTGTCCATAGAAGCTGAGCTGAGCTAAATGGATTGACTAGCAAGGAATAAGATACAAGTACACAGGCCTACAAGGGTTGTATGTACTCTGTAGGAAGTACCTCACTATAGCCTAACACACAATTATAACATTGATATAGACTAGTGAATGGAATCAAAACGAGCAAGAGAGACAAGTGGTCACAAGACTAGTCAACAACAACAGCAAAGCAAGACAATCAACTCAGGTGGTACGACTAGCCAGCCCTCTGAGACAAATGGCCACAAGGCCAGTTCAAGTGTTCACATAGATATATATAAACAGCAGAACAAGCATAGCAAAAAACAAGAGGCAAGCCTACGACAAACGAAGGTCTGTCTGAACAAAGCCAAGCTGTGAGCAGAACTTGTGGTGGTCACCAGACGGGAGCAGGGCCTATGATTCACATTTAGGCACGTTAATGCATCAGGGTCCCTCTGTGTAGAATCCCTAATCGTCTGTGTCCCCCCCAAAAAAAGCCTGAAAATTCAGTGTTACCTTCAAAAAAAGTCTGATGCATCAGTGTTCCCTTTTTGTAAAGGCTGAAATTGAACTTAAAATAAGATAACATTAGGTAGGAACTGTCAAAATGTTATACTACTTATATTGTGTAGGCTGTAGTGGGGTAGCCCATAAGGGGTATAACCCAATTAGGGTTAGTACTTGTACCAGCTTTCTGTTCAATTCATTCATCCTCGTTCAGTATTCTGAAGACATGGTTTCAGAGCAGGTCCTGTTCCAGGACCGTTTTTTTAGGGCCCACCGAATAGTTCCCTGCCCGTAGCGCGTTACCCTGCTCGTAGCACCCTACCCTGCCCGTCGCGCTGCCCCACCGTGGCGCTGCCCCACCGTCGCACTGCCGCGCCGCCCTGCCCTGCCTGTCGCGCTGCCCTCCTGGCCGCGCACTGCCCTGCCCTGCCCGCGCGCCGCTCTGCTGGCCACCGCGCCGCCCTTTGCAGCCCGCACGCCGCCCTTTGCAGCCCTGCTGGTCGCGCGCCGCCCTCCCCTGCCTGTCGCGTCGCCCTGCTGGCCGCCGCGTCGCCCTGCCCTGCCCGCGCGCCGCCCTGCTGGCCGCCGCGCCGCCCTGCTCTGCCTGCGCGTCGCCCTGCCCTGCCCGCGCACCACACTGCTGGCAGCCGCGCCGCCCATCCCTGCCTGCGCGCCGCCCTGCCCTGCCCTGCCTGCGCGCCGCCCTGATGGCCGCCGCCCAGCTGCCCGCGCCGCCCTGCTACGCGCTGCCCTGCTGCCCGTGCCGCCCTGCTGCTGCCCGCCCTGCTGCGTGCAGCCCTGCTGGCCGCCGCACCGCCCTGCAGGCCGCCGCCCTGCTCTGCCATTTGCGCTGCCCTGCCCTGGCCGCGTGCAGCTCTTCCCTAGCCGTGCGCCGCCTCGCCCTGCCCAGCGTGCTACCCTAGTGCTCGCGCGCCGCCCTGCCTGCGTGCTGCCCTGCTGGTCGTGCGCCACCATGCTCTGCCCGCTATGGCTACTCTCAGTGTTCTCACCTTCGATCATGAGGGCCGTCCGATCCAGTTCGATACATGGCTCGACGACTTACAGCTGTACCTACTGAGCGATTCTAGAGACATCGTTTCGTTGTTTGACCACACGTCTGGAGCCTCTCTCGCCCCTCCCGCCACAGCTGACACTGCAACTCGCTCACAGTGGCTTACCCGTGACGCTGCTGCTCGCTTAGCCGTTCGCAACCACCTGCCATTAGCCGAATGCGCTCACTTTGGCCAGCACAAGATTGCTAAAGCCCTGTACGATGTTGTAGTCACTCGTTACTCTTCCCCTGTCACTGCTGCTCTCGGCCGCCTTATACTGCCCAATCTTTTCCCCAAGCTGTCAGCCTTTGCCACAGTCGAGGACCTCATTAACTACCTTCGCACTAGCGACACTCGCTACCGCGCTGCCCTCCCAGCCGAGTTCCTAGACAAGAACCCGCCCCCGATGTACATCACTCTCTACTTCATAGTCACCCGCCTCCCTGACTCTCTTCGCGCAGTCAGGGACCACTTTCTTGCACTTGACCCCACATACCTCACTGTCGACCTGCTCGAGAAGCACCTCCTTGCAGCTGAGACTAGCGTATTCGCTGTAGGTGCTGCTCGTGGCACTCCTCGCACACCCTTCTTTGAGGGGTGTTCCCCCTCCCCCCTTGCCCCCTCCTACACTTCTGCTGCTCTTGTTGACATCCTTGGTACTGAGGACGTCAAGGCTGCTTCTGCTCTTAGTGGGAAGCGCCGCAGCGGCAAGGGCAAGAGAGGCAAGAGTGGTGGAGGTGGCAGCAGGGGTGGTGGTGGTAGAGGCGGTGGAGGCGGTGGAGGTGGCGGAGGTGGCGGTGGGAGTGGTGGTGGGAGTGGGGGCTTCGGTGGCGGCAGTGGTGGCAGCGGTGGGAGTGGTGGTGGCGGTGGTGGTGGCAGTGGGAGTGGTGGCGGCGGCAGTGGTGGCGGTCGGGGTGGAGCTCTTCAGAGGGGAGGTTCTGGCGGTGGCCAGAGGCAGCTCCAGCAGCGTCTGCGCGAGACCCCTACGCCCCAGCAGCTCCGTGAGTGGTTTGCTCAGCGTGGGGCGTCTGGGGGTAGTGTTCGCCCCATGCCACCCGACCCAGGTATAGAGGCTGCTGTTCTAGGTGCTAGTGAGTCTTGTCTCCCTGGTACTGCGCGTGCTGAGGCCATGCACACCTTCACGCTTGACTCAGGTGCTCCTCGCTGTTTCTTTCGCGACAGTACCACACTCACTCCACTCCCTGCACCTGTTCCAGTCAGACTGACTGACCACTCAGGGGGCCCAGTTCTTGCCCGTTCCTCCACTGTTCTCCCGTGTCCGGCGGTTCCGTCCGGCTCAATCTCAAGTCTTCACCTCCCCTCGTTCTCTATGAACTTGGTGAGTACCGGTGCCCTCCAGGATGCGATGGTCACTACCACCACTCCTGGGGGTCAGCGTGAGTCGATCTGTACGTGTACACGGACGGGCCGTCACCTGGCCACGTTCACCCATCAGCCTGGGTCGAGTCTGTACACAGTGGACAGGACCGCGAGCGCTACTCCCGGCTGGTTGTTGACGACTACACGCGTTACACCACGAACTTCCCCTTCCGCAGCAAGGGCGAGGTCCCTGATGTCTTGATCCATTGGATCCGCACAGTCCGTCTCCAGCTCCGCGAGCGGTTCCGTGAGGACCTTCTTGTCCTACGTTTGAGTATGAGTCTGATTATAATTGTCCTCCGTCCGTCGGGGGTGAGTGTGCTCTTGGCACGGACGTCCTTTAGCACAGGCAGAAGGACTTTGAGTGTCTTGCTGGTGCTGTATCTCATCTCGTGGCCATGCTGCTTGCACCTGAGGGAGACCCGGATGCACCAGACATCCCGACCCCGCGCTCTTACGCAGAGGCGATTACAGGTCCTTATTCCTCTCAGTGGCAGACAGCCATGGACGCAGAGATGGCATCCTGGAAGTCCACAGGCACCTACGTTGACACAGTTCCCCCTCCTGGGGCAAACATAGTCGATGGCATGTGGATTTTTAGGGTGAAGCAACTGCAAGATTCTCCGCCTGCCTTCACGGCTCGTTACGTTGCACGAGGCTTCAGTCAGCGATAGGGAGTTGACTTCTTCCAGACCTTCTCCCGTACCCCGAAGATGACCACTCTTCGGGTGCTGCTGCACGTCGCCGCTCAGTGTGACTACGAGCTGCACTCTCCTGACTTCAGCACAGCTTTCTTATAGGGCAGCCTGTATGAGGATCTGGCTGCGCCGCCCACCTGGCTTCACTGGGTCGTTTCCTGCTGGTACCTAGTGGAGCCTCCGGCGACCAGTCTACGGTCTCCGCCAGGTGCCTTGCGAGTGGCACGACACACTTAGGACGACGCTTGTGGCTCTTGGGTTTGCTCCTTCGATTGTTGACCCGTCGTTGTTTCTGCACACTGAGACTTCGATGCCGCCGTTCTACATCCTCGTGTACGTCGACGACTTGGTCTTTGCCACTGCTGACGCTGAGGCACTGACCCTTGTGAAGTCGGAGCTGCAGAAGAGAAACACCTGCACTGACCTGGGTGAACTGCGCAGCTATCTTGGCTTGCAGATCACCCGGGACAGTGCTCGGCGCACCATCACACTGACTTATTCACACATGACGCACCAGGTACTCCTCACATGACTTCAGCGCTTCGGCTTCCGGTACTCCTCGCCACAGTCCACTCCTCTGCCTACTGATTACTCGCTCTCAGCTCCACCTTCGTACAAGTCCGTAGAGCCGAGTGGCCCATATCCAGAGCTTGTGGGCTGCCTCATGTACCTGATGACCTGCACTCGACCTGACCTTGCCTACCCTCTTAGCATCCTGGCACACTACGTTGCGCCCGGGAGACACCGACCAGAGCACTGGGAGGCCGCTAAGAGGGTGTTGCGCTACTTGTGCAGTACATCGGGCATGGGGCTCGTGCTTGGAGGATGGGGTCCAGTTGTCCCCACTGGACACGCAGACGCTTCTTGGGTTGACGACTTGGTTACGCAGCGGTCGTCACAGGGTTACACTTTCAGCCTTGGCTCTGGCTGTTTTTCTTGGCGGTCTACCCGCTCGTCTTCTGTTCTCAGTTCCTGTTGCGAGGCTGAGATCTATGCAGGGGCCATGGCGATGAAACCCCAAGCGGATGGAAGGAAGGCATGGAGCACAATGGGATGGGAGCCTGGATGGCAGGTAGCACGGCTGGGCGGTGTGGATGCATCAGTGCTTGCCAGCACGACTTAGACAAAACGGGCCACAGGACCACAGGTGCTAGCAATGGGCCAGAAACCTCGCATCGCAGCTTGCCAACATTGCTCTGTTGCAACCTTGTCATTGGTCAACCCACATAATGCTCCAAAAGTGGCCAATGATCGAACCAAGTGCGCCAACAAAGCAGCCCTCAAAGCGAATAACACGAGGCAAATTTGTCTGGTAGTCACCGCCAGGCGGTGCTCACACCGTGGGAATCTGAGATTCCCTGTACTTCCGGGGAACTACACTCGGAACGTGTAGGAATCGCATTCAGTGTCAGTTTCGTTACAACGTAGTGTAATCAGTGTCCCTTAAAAAAAAAAAAACCTGAAAGTTTAAAGTCATCTGGCCCCTAAAGGCTGAAAAATCAGTCCCCCAAAAAGCTGAACACTGGAAAATCAGGGTAGGTACAAAAAAATCCCTAAAAATTAGGAATTTCAGGGAAAATTTCCTGATATCGTAGGGTCTGGTCGGGAGGGCCTTGGTGAAGATGTTGTTATAATACAGGAAGACAGGAATGATGAATGACTAGCAACAGGGAGATACATGTATGAAACCCTAACTGGTGTTGTACCCTATACTGAGCACCTCACTATAGCCTAGCCGAACTAATAACATACAAATATGTTTTGACAGATGTCTACACTCTTGGCCGCTGAGGCTACAAAGACTAAATGCACCTGGCCGCGTCGCTGCAGCTCTCGCAGTAGGAAGTGCCGCAGGCTGATGTGCTTCAGTCTGCTCTCCAGTCGAGGCTCTCGACAAAGGAAGATCATAGCCTTGTTGACAGCAAACAAAGTCGGTCCAGAGCTAGGCCGCTCACCTAGGTCAATGAGCAAGAAATTCAATCAACGGAGCTCTTGAGCAGCCATGGCACCATCGTACGGTAGATCTCGGCCTTAGGACTAGACTGTGCCACAGAAGAACTCCACGACACATCTCCAAAGCCCAAGCTGAAACAATACCACTGAGTCGACCTGCTGGTCTCCTCGTCGTCCGCCCAGGACGAGATGCATTGCTCGGTAAGCGGCACTCGCTGTGTCCCTCAAAGCACAAGCCCCATGCCTGATGTGGTCGCCATGTACTTCGCTACCCTCCTAGGAGTCGTCCAGTGAACAAGACGGTGTCTCCCAGTCGCAACAAAGCGAGCCAAGATGCTGAGAGGATAATCGAGGCCTGGATGACTACACGTCATCAGGTATATGAGGCAACCCACAAGCTCTGCATAGTGACCACTAGGCTCAACAGGCTTGTCGGGAAGAGCAGCAGTGAGTTTGCGGTAAACAGGAGGAAGAGTGGGCGGTGTGGTGGAAAACTGAAGCTCGAACCGCTGAAGGACCTGCTGCACAATGTATGACTGATTTAGAGTGATTGTGCGAGCGGCTCTGTCCATGGTGATCTGCAAGCCAAGGTAGCTGCGCAATTCACCAAGGTCAGTGCATGTGCGTCTCTTCTGCAATTCGGCCTGCACTGAAGCCAGCGTAGCCTTGCCTGCGGTAGCGAAGACCAGGTCGTCGACGTAGACGAGGGCGAAGAAAGAGTGGGTCCATAAAGACACACAGTGAAGGTTCGGTGGACGAAGGATGGGGTCGGAGGTCAGCAAGAGTGGAGCAGAGAGTGTCGTGTCACTCACAAGGCGCCTGGCGAAGACTGTAGACTGGTTTTCTTAGACTCTACTGTGTCGTAGGAGGGAAAGTGCCAGTGAAGCCAGGAGGACGACACAACCAGGTCTCCTCGTGCAGGCTGCTATGGAGAAAGGCAGTGGAGAAGTATAGTTAGTGCAGCTCGTAGTCTCGCTGTGCTGCGACGTGTAGTAGCAACCAAAGAGTTGTTGTCTTCGAAGTGGGGGAGAACGTTTGGAAGAGTCTGCTCCCTCACGCTGTCTGAAGCCTCTAGCCACATAGCTCGCCTTGAAGACAGGCGGCAATCTAGGCGGCTGCTTCACATTGAATTTCCACAAGCCATCGACTACGTTTGCCTGAGGAGGGGGAACTGCATCGACGTACGTTCCTGTGGATCTCCAAGGCGCCATCTGTAAGTCCATGGTTGCTATCCATTGAGAGGACCACTGTCCCGACACTGCCTCAGTGTAAGTACGAGGAGTTGGGATGTTTGGAGCGTCAGGGTCTCCCTCAGAGGCTAGCAGCATGTCACAGAGGTATGGAGCATGCAATGGGCGGCACGGGAGACACGAGATCTGGCAGCACGGGAGGCACGTGTAGGACACGAGCATCATCCGAAGCACTAGAACGGGTGGCACGGGAAGCACGGGTATGACACGGGCAGCACAGGAGGCACAGGTAGGAGACGGAGAACACGGGCAGCACGGGAAGCACAAGAACGGGCGGCACAGGAGACATCGGAACAAGAAGCATGGGTAGCACGGGAACGGGCAGCACGGGAAGCACGGGAACAGGTGGCACGGGAGACACGGGAACGGGCAGCACGGGAGGCACGGGTAGGACACGGGCAGCACGAGAGGCACGGGTAGGACACGGACAGCACGGGCATCACGAGAAGCACGGGAACGGGCGGCACGGGAGACACGGGCAGCAAGCACGGGCATGGGAAGAACACGGGCGGCAACAGGGGTCGAGTATGGGCAGAGCCGGGGTGCGTACAGGGTGCGGGGTGCGAACGAGGAGGAATGAGCACGAACGGAACGGGAGACGCGGGAGGCACTCGGCCGGCGATGAGAGGAGGAGGAGGCAGCTGATGCTGCAACTCGACTCACACCATCCACACTCCCTGAACCTCCCCCCCACACCAGGGAGAGAGAGAGAGAGAGGAGGAGGTGTGGCGGCGGATGGCGCTGCAGTATACGCCTGCCACCCCCTCACACCCCCCAAAGCCTCCCACTGAACAGCAGCAGTCGCGGCTGAGAGGAGGAGGTGCAGTGGCAGCGGATGGCGCTGCAGTTCCACTCCCACACCCCTTCATCCTCCCCCACAGCAACAGATGCGAGAGTGAGAGAGAGGCGGAAGTTGCTGCACCTGGATCACACCACCCACACCCCCTAACCCCCCCCCCCCACAGCAGCAGCAGCAGAGAGAGAGCAAAGGAGGTGCAGTGGCGGGAGGTGCTGCAGGGATACGTCTGCCACCCCCTCACACCCCCCCATAGCCTCCCCCCTGAGTCGCCACCCCGCCACTGCCACCACCAATCCCGCTGCCCCCTCCCCCCCCCCCCCCCCCCCCACCACTGGCCGCCACCTCCATTCTCGCTGCCGCCCCCCTCTATTTACCACACCCACCACGGCCCAGCACAGCAGAGGTAGGTGCGGTAGAGGGGGGCAACGAGGGAGGGACGTGGGGAAGGGACGGGGCGGGACGGGATGGTCGCGTAGTGCAGATTCAGATGGGGTGGTCGATGGCGGGTTCGTCAGCGGGCTCGCTGGCGCGCTCCCTGGCGGGTCCGTCGGCGGGTTTGTTGGGGAGCTTGTCGGCGGTCTCGCTAGCGCGCTCGTTGGCGGGTGCGTCGGCGGGTTTGTCGGCGGGCTCGCTGACGCGCTCGCTGGCGGGTCCGTCGGTGGGTTTGCGGGCGTGCTCCCCATGGGCAGAACGTGACGAGCTTCGGGCGGACGGCGCGAGAGTTACGGGTTGGTGGGCCCATAAAATTGGCATGCTAGTAAAGTACTAGCTCAATACCATGTCAAGATATGAACGTAAGTATGAACTATGGTTTTGGTAGGGCCTAGGCTAAGGAGCATAGGACAAGGTTGTCGAGAGAGTTGTCACCAAGGAGAAAGTTGAGAATGCGTTACTTTACTATAGAACACGAGGTACATATAGAAAACACAAGGGTGCACCACCAAACAAGAAACAATATAATCACCCTACAACTAACTACAAGCAGATATAGAATATATAATATTTTTGATACGGGCGGCACGGGAGGCACGGGAGACACGGGTAGCACGGGAGGCACGGGAGGCACGGGAGGGCACGGGCAGCACGGGAGGCACGGGAGGACACGGGCAGCATGGGAGGCAGCACGGTACGGGCAGCACGGGAGGCACGGGAGGACACGGGCGTCACGTGAGGCACGGGAGGGCACAGGCAGCACGGGAGGCACGGGAGGACACGGGCAGGATGGGAGGCAGCACAGTGCGGGCAGCACGGGAGGCACGGGAGTACACGGGCAGCACGGGAGGCACGGAAGGACACGGGCAGCACGGGAGGCACGGGGACAAGGCAGGGGATGAGTGGAGGAGGAGGCGGCTGATGCTGCAGCTAGACTCACACCACCCACACCCCCTGAACCCCCCCCCACAGCTGCAGCAGTGGCAGAGAGAGAGAGAGAGAGAGAGAGAGAGAGAGAGAGAGAGAGAGAGAGAGAGAGAGGTTCTTACACCTCTTCAGGCAGCGCTGGTCCGTGGCTCTGCAAAGAGCACAGTCGGTGGGATACTTAATCAAGTCCTCTCAGGCGGCCGTAGCTGAAAATCCCCCTGTAGGGGGGGTGCAGTCCGAGCTCCACCTTGGGGACTGCTGTGCTGTGCTGGAACCTCTTATGGAGGTGTAGAGACATAGTTGTTTGTCGTTTGTTATTTGTTTGCTTGTTTCCAAACCATCCTAGCAATAGCTATGCATGAATGTACCCTTTGGCTATATCAATACACGGACCATTAGAGAGAGAGAGAGGAGGTGCAGTGGCGGTAGGTGCTGCAGGGATACGCCTGCCACCCCCTCATACCCCCCCATAGCCTCCCCCCCCACAGCAGCAGTCGCGGCAGAGAGGAGAGAGAGGAGGAGGTGCAGTGGCGGTAGGTGCTGCAGTGACACTCCTGCCACCCCCGCACACTCCACACCACCCCCCCCCTCCCCATGAATCGCCACCCCGCCACCGCCACCTCCATTACACTGCCGCCGCCCCGTCCCCCCCCACTGTCCGCCACCTCCATTCCTGCTGTCCCCCCCCCCCCCCCCCCACAGGCAGTTCCGTTGACGGGCCCGTTGGCGGGCTCGCTAGCGCGTTGGCATGTCCGTTGGTGGGCTCCCGGACGGTTCCGTTGGCGGGTCGGTTGGCGGGCTCGCTGGCGTGCTTTTTGGCGGATCTGCTGGCGATCTTGCTGACGAGCTTCCTGGAGGAGAGGAGAGAAGAGGAGGAAATGAAAGGAGACGGTTGGAGGAGAGAAGAAAGGAAGATGATATGTGAGGTTGGAAGGTAAGAGATGGAGGGGCGGCTGCCTGGTCAGACCCGCCACCCCCACACCCTCTCTTCCACCCCCTCCCCCAACGCGGCACACATAGTAGGTGCAGGTGCAGTGGCGAGGAGGAGAAAAAGGGAGGGGGCTGGGGGGTCAATGGGGCTTCAGTACCCCCGCAGCCTCGGCTGCCAATCCCGCCACTCCCCCCCCCCCCACAGCGCCCGTCGAAGCAGGGCGCAGCAAGTGGAGGGGCAGCGGGAAGCGGGCTGGCGCATGCGCGTATGCTCCTGCTGTTGGCCGCGTGCTGGCGAGGGGCGTGCGCGCTCCTGCTGCTGGTCGCGCGCTGGCGAGGGGCGTACGCGCTCCTGCTGCTGGTTGTGCGCTGGCGAGGGGCACGCGCGCTCCTGATGCAGGTTGCGCGCTGGCTGGCAGCGCGGGCGCGCTACTATTGCCGAGCTGGAAGGAGGCGCGCGCGCTACTAGTGCCGGTCGCGCGCTGGCGTGCGGGTCGTGCCATAGGGCCTGCTGCAGGGCGCGTTAGGGGCTGCAGGAAGGGTGGGCCCAGGATGTGGCCTGCTCTGAAACCATGTCAAATAGTGAAATAAGGAGAGATTAGGTTTAGGAGCTGAGGGCAACATGGCGATGGTATCGAGAGGGAAGTTTGGCCAAAGAGGGGTTCAATATTAGGTAAGGGTACAAGATATAGGAAAGGCAAGACATAAGGGTGCAGCACCAGCAAGATGTAGGCAGTTAAGATATGCAATATACGGTAGTATAACAGTTGAGTATACTTTTGGTGTTTCAAAACATTTTAAACACCAACGAGGGCCACTGGTGCGGGGTGTCAGGGGGATGAGATCTCTTGTGGACGGGGGAAATGGGTTGAAATAAGGTTAACTGTACCGTATATGTATAGTGACCTCTGGGCATTTACAAACATTTATGTGCAGTGAGCCGCAAGCCAAGCCAACACTCCTGACGGAGCTTCAGCTAACGGAGCATCTCCTGAAGGGTGAAGGTATGCGCGTCAGAGGCACGTCACGCCAGGCGGTCGCTGCGGAAATTATAGCTGAGCGGAACCCGCGTGCAGTCCGTCACCCGCGTTGCCGCCCCATACGTCCCTGGTTACTAATCAGGCCACATTATCCCAATTGTCCTGTCTGTGGTTGGGCGCCCCCCCCAGCGCAGGTACACGACGAGTATCTAACCCAATCCGTTTGGGAAACATCCCGAGAAATATCTGAGGTGGCCCACCTCCCCGCGTTTTTGCGAGTCTGTCTGAGCGAGGCGAGCTGCGCCTCCGCACTGCACTCTGTCACCTGACCGTCGTCAAACCTGCCGACCGCCAGCTCCGCAAAACGCCCGAGCGCCTGCGCTGCGCTTCGCTCTTCCCTCCCCTCCCAGCGCGCGCGACACCACGTTTTTACCTGTAGTACAGGCAACCGCGTTCATCGCGTCATTCCCACCAGCTTCGATGATGATGACCAATTACTATTTAAACTCGCTCGTTTCATATCCGTCCATATGTCCACGCCTCTGCCCTTCACCTCACACCTCGCTGCCTTGCTTTCGCTTCTCCGACCTACCTGAGCCTCGCTAAGCGTCCTGCTGTCGCGCCGCGTTTACCATCTTGCATCGCGGCTCAGAAGACAGATTGTTGGGTCAAGTCCGCGCCGGGGCTTCAACGTCTCGAAGTCTCGCCATCGTTCGTATGCCTTCCGAGAAGCTTCAAGTTCTTCAACCTTCCCCAGCGAGTCTGAAGCCCAGCATCTCGTTGCGCGCCGTCCGTCGTCGCCATGGCTCGCTCGATCTCCGCAATCGCGCTCCTCGCCGCTGGCCTGCTCGTCCTGCTCGCCGGTAGGCCCCACTCCCTCGCTCGCTCCAATCCACTCTTCGTTCTCGCCGCTGCTCCAATTCGCTTGTTCCTTTTCGCCAATTCGCTTGCCGTATCCGTGCGTTCATCGTTTCATCCCCTCCCCCACTCCGCGCCTCCCCACCCTCCCTTCCTCCCCCCCGCACCCATGTCGGATCTCGCGCCCTGCCTCGCGTGTGCGCCGATGCCCCCCTCCGCCTCGTTTCCACGGTGCACTTCAGCCGTAGCTCACACAGAGGTAAGTCTCTAGTCTCTCGCCTCTCGCCTCTCCTCTCCCTTAAAGCCCCCCACCTAATTCCCCTTGGACTCGCCGTTGCTGTTCTCGCGCTCCTCTCGTGCATTGCAGTGTTTCTGACGTGCATACTGTCCCGTCGTACCCCACGCCGCACATGCGCGCACATCAGCTCAAGAATCTTGCAAGCATGTTCATATATGGGTACCCCATGTGCGATTCATGCCGCCCCTCGCGCACAGGCGCGCGACATCGTCGTGGGCGGCAGCAAGAAGTGGACGCTCGGCGTCAGCACCTGGAAGCCCAAACCCTTGGCGAAAGCAGGCGACGTGCTTGGTGAGAGTCCCTCGCATGCCACGTGCTCCCCCTTAGCTGTGCCACCTCTTTACTCCCCCTGGCGCCTCGTTTATTGCGTTGTCCTCCTTGTTCTGCCTTTATTCACCCTTCTTGAGCCGCTTCCCTGTTCGTCTTTGCTCTTTCTCCACCCAATGTTTTCACCAGTTACAGTCTTGCTCAAATGGCCGTTGCTGCTCTCCCGTACCCCCCATTGAGTCCCATGCATCCTGTCCCTTACATCCCATATCCGCGCTGCTGCATGGCACGGCAGTGTTCCAGTGGAGTGGGTTCCATGACGTGTGGCAGATGAGCAATGCTGCAGCCTTCAAGGCCTGCAAATTTCAAGCTGCTGAGCAGAAAGCGCCCGCTGCCACGGGCACGTCGTACAAGTGAGTGCCGCGCCTCTCCTGCTCACTTGCCCCAATGCATCTGATTGCAGGTGATTCTTGATCAACTCTTGTTGCCTCCCTTGATAACTCATGGTGCGTGCCTTGCCCACTCGTGCGTGTATGATGAACATGCATCGTGCGCCTTTGCGTCTGCCATTAAGGGCCAGAGAACAGTACTCTGCTCATCTAGGATCGCCCCTTCTCGTTCCGTGCTTCACGGCTCTAACGCCTGCCTGTCTTGCCCGGCTTGCTCCTCCTAGTCAGTTTCACGGTGCCGAGTACAGCGGCGGGCAGCATCCTGTACTTCGCCTGTGGAGTATCCGGCCACTGCACGGGCAAGATGAAAGTGGCTGTTTCCGTCCAGAAATGAGGCCATTGCTCACGATGCATGAGTAGCCCGTGCATAGTGGAGTCACAATTTAGTGTGGATTTGTGTTGCTTGTATTGTATGCTTGTGACATAGTTATGTTTGTATTATTAGCTAGCCTGTAGTGAGTTGCATGCTAGAGGGTACATAAATTCACTCTAAAGGTGGCATCAGCAGGGCTCATCCTAGCCTAAACTTGCATCGTAACGCGCCCCGTAACGCGCCGCCCCGTAACGTCCCGTAGCTCGTCCCGACACGCCCCGTAGCGTCCTGTAGCGCCGTCCCGTTCCGTCCCGCAAGCCGCCCGAATCGAGCGCAGCCAGCAGCGCACAGCCGCGCGCACTCCTGCCATCGCACAGCTGCTCGCGCCGCACCATTCACGCACGCAGTAGCGGCTGCAGGTACAGTAGCGCGCGCAGCAGCATTGTGCAGCAGCATCCGCAAACGCGCGCGCCACCGCACGCACACTAGCAGCAGCCGCCGCTACGCACGCAGCAGCCGTCGTTACGATGTGTCAAAATGTTATACGGTAGTACTTACTTTGTGTATGCTATAGTGGGGTAGCCCATAAGGGGTACAACCCAATTAGGGTTAGTACTTGTACCCAACTCTTTCATAATTCATTCATTCTCGTTCAGTTGTTTCAACATGGTTTCAGAGCAGGTCCTTCCTTAGGACCGATTTTTTAGGGCCCACCACAACGCTGCCCCACTAGCTGCCCTACCGCCCTGCCCTACCTGACACGCCGCCCTGCTGGCCCGCGCGCCGCCCTTTGCTAGCCCATCGCGCCGCCCCTTGCAGCCCGTGCGCCGCCTTTAGCAGCCCGCGAGCCGCCCCTGCAGCACGCTCGCCGCCCCAGCAGCCAGCACGCCGCCCCTGCAGCCCGCTCGCCGCCCCTGCAGCCAGCTCGCCGCTCGCCTGTGGCCCACTCGCCGCCCCTGCAGCCTGCTCGCCGCCCGCTTGCGGCCCGCTCGCCGCCCCTGCAGCCCGCTCGCCACTCGCTTGCGGCCCGCTCGCCGCCCCTGCAGCCCACTCGCCACCCGCTTGCGGCCCGCTCGCCGCCCCTGCAGCCCGCTCGCCGCCCGCTCGCCGCCCCTGCAGCCCGCTCGCCGCCCGCTTGCGGCCCGCTCGCCGCCCCTGCAGCCCGCTCGCCGCCTGCTTGCGGCCCGCTCGCCGCCCCTGCAGCCCGCTCGCCGCCCCTACAGCGTAGTCGCTGTAGGTGCTGCTCGTGGCACTCCTCGCACACCCTTCTTTTGAGGGGTGTTCCCCCTCCCCCCTTGCCCCCTCCTACGCTTCTGCTGCTGCTGTTGACATCCTTGGTGCTGAGGACGTTGGGGCTGGTTCTGCTCTTAGTGGGAAGCGCCGCAACGGCAAGGGCAAGGGTGGCAAGAGTGGTGGCGGTGTCAGCGGGGGTGGTGGTGGTGTAGGCAGTGGAGGTGGCGGAGGTGGTGGCAGCGGTGGGAGTGGTGGCGAGAGTGGGGGCTTCGGTGGTGGCGGTGGTGGCAGTGGTGGGGGTGGGGGTGGCGGTGGTGACAGCAATGGGAGTGGTGGCGGCGGCAGTGGTGGCGGTTGGGGCGGAGCTGCTCAAAGGGGAGGTTCTGGCGGTGGCAAGAGGCACCAGCAGCGGGGTCGGAGCGAGACCCCTACGCCTCAGCAGCTTCGTGAGTGGTTTGCTCAGCGTGGGGCGTCTAGGGGTAGTGTTCGTTTCCCGTATGTCATTCGCACAGGTGACTGCGCTGGTCAGACATGCGGGAAGCTTCACACTTAGCACCGGTGCTTCTCCCGCCTTGACGACGCTTGGCGCGCAGAGTTTCTGAGCGCCCCCGCTGGGCAGAGCTGCTTAGGTCTGGAGTTGATATCTTTGCTCTTGACTATGATGCTATCCTTGCTGCCATGTATGCCTTGTCTATTAGTGCTGAAGGTGACTGTTACCTGTGTGTGCCGCCTGACCCAGGTATAGAGGCTGCTGCTCTAGGTGCTAGTGAGTCTGCTCTCCCTGGTACTGCGCCTGCTGAGGCCTTGCACACCTTTACGCTTGACTCAGGTGCTTCCCACTGTTTCTTTTGCGACAGTACCACCCTCACTCCACTCCCTGCACCTGTTCCGGTCAGACTGGCTGACCCCTCACGGGGCCCAGTTCTTGCCCGTTCTTCCACTGTTCTCCCGTGTCTGGTGGTTCCGTCCGGCTCACTCTCAGGTCTTCACCTCCCCTCGTTCTCTACGAACTTGGTGAGTACCGCTGCCCTCGAAGCGATGGTCACTACCACCACTCCTGGGGGTCAGCGTGTGTCGATCTACACGTGTACACGGACGGGCCGTCACCTGGCCACGTTCACCCGTCGGCCTGGGTCGAGTCTGTACACACTGAGTGCTGAGCCTCCTCAGGTTTCTGCGTCTGCTCAGGTGTCCGCGTCAAGTCCGGTAGTAGCCCAATGCTCGTGTCGCCTCCTGTCGCACCAGACTGTCCTGTGGCATGCACTCCCGCCTCCTTGTCTCTGGTGTTCCCAGGTCTCTGCCTCCCTTACCGCCCACGCCTGCCCCACCCTGCCTTCCTTGCGTCAAGGGGCGGCAGCGCGCCGCTCCTCACTCCTCCTCGTTTCCCCCGACGATTGCTCCCCTGCAGACTCTCCACATGGACGTGTGGGGCCCAGCCCGCGTCAGTGGACAGGGCCGCGAGCGCTACTTCCTGCTCGTTGTTGATGACTACACACGTTACACCACGGTCTTCCCCTTGGATGTCTTGATCCCTTGGATCCCTGATGTCTTGATCCCTTGGATCCACGCAGTCCATCTCCAGCTACGCGAGCGGTTCCGTGAGGACCTTTCGGTCCTGCGTGTGCACTCTGACAGAGGTGGTGAGTTCTCCTCCGACCTCTTGCGGGACTTTTGTCATGGGGAGGGCATTCTCCAGTCGTTCACGCTTCCGGCCTCCCCACAGCAAAATGGAATTGCTGAGCGTCGCATTGGCTTAGTCATGGAGGTCTCTCGTACCTCCATGATCCATGCGGCTGCTCCCCATTTTCTATGGCCGTTTGCGGTCCAGTACGCTGCACATCAGTTCAACCTCTGGCCCCGTGTCTCCTTGCCGGAGACCTCGCCTACACTGCGTTGGACGGGGAAGGTTGGCAATACGTCGGTATTCTGGGTCTGGGGCTCTCGTGCCTTTGTTCGCGATACTTCCGCGGACAAGCTCTCCTCCCGCGCTATTCCTCGTGTCTTCCTTGGCTTTCCCCCTGACGCGCCTGGCTGGAAGTTTTACCACCCCACCTTGCACCGTGTCCTCCCCTCTCAAGACGTCACGTTTGACGAGTCGGTTCCCTTTTACCATCTCTTCCCCTACCGCACTGCCCCTCTCCCCCCCCCGCTGCTCTTCCTTGCTCCAGGTCCCCCTCCGGTAGACCCCCTCCCCCCTTAGGGTCCTGCTCCCTCAGGTGTGTCTCAAGTAGACCCACTCCCCGGGGCTGTGCCTGTCGAAGTCGCTGTAGACTCAGCTGCTGGAGGTGCTGCATCTGGGGGTGCTGCGTCTGGGGGTGCTGAGCCTGCGCGTGCGGAGCCTGGCTGCTGGAGCTTCTGGAGGTGCTGCTGGTGCTGGAGCTGCTGGAGGTGCTGCTGGTGCTGGAGCTGCTGGAGGTGGTGCTGGTGCTGGAGCTGCTGGAGGTGCTGCTGGGACTGGAGACCCTGGGGCTGAGGGTCCCGGTTCTGTCTCTGCTGTTTCTGGAGGCGCTGTGCGGCCGCGGCCGTACTACGTTCCGCTCCTTCAGCAGGTTCTTGGCTCCCCGCCTTCTCCTGGCCCTCCTCCTCCTTTACTGAGTCCACCGCCTGTCCAGTCCCAGTCGCGGTTCCAGCCAACCTCTCCACTGCCTGGTCCTTCTCCTTACTCTGGACCGACTAGAGGTCTTACGGAGCGTCGTGAGCCTGAGTCTCGTCCAGTGTCGCCTGAGTCTCATTCTGCGTCGCCTGTCCGTCCTGTTCGCGCTGGTCGTGTTTTGCGTCCGCGTCCTCCTCCTATCCCTGGCACTCACTCTATGACTCTGCGTCCTTCCATTGCTCCACAGCGTGTCCCTCTGCCGTCTCCTCCTGCGTCCTCTCTTCCTGCCGGTCCGGACCCTGCGTCTGACGCCCTACGTGCTGCTAGTCCAGTTGTCACGCGTTTTCTGGCGACTGTTGTCACTGACCCTTTGTTTTGTCAAACTTATATCTGCTATGGTCTATTTAGGCTGTAGTGGGGTAGCTCTTAGTGGGTACAACACTTATGTGTTTCCTATATGTACCCATCTCATTTTCTAGTTCATCATTCTTTCGTCAAATCCTTCTCACATGGTATAGAGCTAGTTTCGAGAATTTTTTAAAAAGGGCCCACCACTGAAATTCGTCACTGCCTACTCGACGCGCGCTTCGCGCCTTCCCCTTCGAGGCCCGTCACGGCCCCTGCACCCGTCCCTCGAGCCTGCGCCCGCCCCGTAAGGCCCCGTAAGGCCTCGTTAGGCCCCGTAAGGCCCCTTTCGGCCCCGTTTAGGGCGCGGATTAAGGCCCCGTAAGGCCCCGTTATGCCCCGTAAGGCCCCGTAAGGCCCCGTCAGGCCCCGTTCGGCCCCGTTTAAGGCCCCGTTAGGCCCCGACAGGCCCCGTTAGTGGCCC